GTATACAGCATAGAGGCCTGTGGGGGCTGCAGTTGTCATTAGTGCAGCCATGTTTAAATGGCATATATGTCCACATAATCTGTACCTTCCTCTTCATCCCTGCTCTTCAGACCCTGACAGTTTCTTGCCTGACGATGGCCATATCTTCTAACCACCTCTTCTTGACCACCAACCCTAATGCCCACACTGCCATCAGAGTTGGAGCTCTAGCTCAGAGAGCTTAATGGCTCTGACTTAAAGATCCTTCAGCAACTCTACTCTCTTACAAGAGCAAGCCCCATCTCTTTAGTAGGGCATCCAATATCTCCCACAATCTGACTCTGCCTTCCTCACGTTTATCATCATCATTTTGCCCCCCCCACTCGCCTATTTTCCCCTGTGTCTGGAAGCCTGCCAGGAGCAGACCACCCAAACAAACCCTGACTCCATGCTTCTTAGACAGTAGACTCCAGATAATGAAAATTCTGTCACCTTCCATCTCCCTGCTTCTGCTGTGCCTTTTTCTTAGAATGAGTTTTTTTTCCCTTTTTGTCCATGCTGTTTACATCCCTTTGCTATGAAACCTTTCTGATTTGCCTTGTTCCCCATGAAAATGAACCTCTCCTTCCTTGGGACCTTCATGCTGGTATAATGTTTGCTACACTGAGATTTGTCTATGGTAATTAAAAATCAATGAGATCTAGAAATAGCCTACTCTCATAAACAGAGCTGAGGAAAAGCATCTCCATTCTCTTGGCTACAACTTCTTCCACTTTTTTGACCTATCTTCATTCTCTCAACATGTTTGGCTTTTCTTGACACTTCTGAAAAATCAGAAAACTGAAGGATTTCCCAGATTGAGGAAAGTGTCTCTTCCCTATAATAGGTTGGTTTATTTCTCAATTTTGTAAGCCTATTTTCTTTCATTTCCTTCATAGAGGCAGCTCATAGCAGTAGGAGAGTGTGAAGGCCCAAGCCAGTGGAAGGCCTTGCTGAAAAGTTTTAGGAGGATCCCTGAGGCCAGTTCCTGAGTCCTGGTTCTGGATTATGTGTGGGAAGTACTCAGGAAACAGAACAGAGAACTTGCTTTACCCATAATGCTTTTAATGTAGAGCAGTTCACTCAGACCATAAGTGCCCCCTCCTTGGCCCCCTCGGGGACCAGCAAAGGGCTGGGGTCTTGATGGACAGCCATTGCTGATTTGGAGCCATAGACCCTCAGAGCCAGAGGGGTCTAAAGCTCCTTCTCTGGCAATGGGCTTTCTTGGCCCTCATATTTGAAGCTTGAGGATGATGTTCAGTTATGCCCTGCAGATCTCATTAGAGGCCATTTGCCCCATGTGCTCTACCAAGCATGGGGAGGGGGGTAGGGTGGGGAGAGCTGGTGTTGCACTTACTTGCCAAGGCCCCTTTCCCTCCTGTCCTAGCAGGGGTTTTAAGGACACTCCCTGGACGAAAGTGTCTCTCTTCCTTAATTAATTTATTAATTAACTCCACAAATATTTATTTGATCAACTACTTTGTCCCAGGTGAGCTATTGAGGATACTGTAGTAGGCAAAACAGATAGAGCCCCTTTCCTCACGGAGCTTACATCTTATCTGAGAAGACAGATAATAATAAAATGAGAACACAAGGAACATATGATTAGAAAGGAGCTAAGTGCTATACACGTGGACCTCGCAAGACGGATACACAGGAATCACATTGACAATATCTACATCATCTGGATGGAAAAGCTCAATATCATCAGTTAGAACAAGACCAGGGGCTGACTGTGGAAC